GGACTGAGACTGTACACACAGCCAGGGGTCGGGAGCAGGACTGAGCCCGTGCACAGCAGCCAGGGGTCGGGGCAGGACTGAGCCTGTGCACAGCAGCCAGGGGTCGGGGCAGGACTGAGCCTGTGCCTCTGGACCCTGCTCTCACATGGTAGGACAGCTGGTCAATGCCTGGTCCCCGGAAGGTAGGGGAGAAGAGAGGAGGGGTGCTGAGTCCTGCATCCCTGTGTGGATACAGGAGACCAAGATGATCCAGGACAAAGGGGAATGACCACACCCCAAGCCTACAAGCCAATAATGCAGGCCCAGGGAGGGCCTTGTCCCCTTCTTCTTCAGTTGGTATCAGGGGTGAGGGTGCTAAGGCAGAGCCTGGGATCTCAGACCTGGGGCTTAGAGAAATGCTAATTGTACTTCCTCAGAATACAAGTGTCAGTCTGGTCCCAGGGAAGTGACAACCCTCAGGGCCCCTGACTTAGCATTTCTGATGAGGAGTGGGGAACAATAGGTCCCTTAGAGGAGACAGCCCTAAGCCTTTCAGGGGATCCATCTGCCCCTGGCCAGTGTCTCCCACCCCCTGTCCCTGTATTCCTGGACAAAGGCTTTATTTTTTGTAACAAATGAATTTGCAATAAAAAGGAAGAGGAATCTGTCAGATGGGGCCGTGCAGGCTGACTGCTCTTGCAGTTCTGAGCCCCCATGTCAGGGAGCCCTGGGAAACCAGCAGAAGGCAGAGTTCCAGGCTTGGCTGGGTCACAAAAGGTCAGCTCAGCTCGGGGACAGGCAGGACATCGCCTTTTACCTCCTCAGACAATGGGGGAAGGGAGACCAGCTGATCTCAGAGGGAACGATCAGAGCCACCCAGAACCTACACAGGGGCGGTGCCATTGGTAGCAGCCGATAGGGACTGTCTACCTGCTGCAGGCGCATGGCAGGCAGTAGTGGGAGGTCCCCCCATCAAACAAGAAGCCACCTGGCGATGTTATTTGGGGTCACTTGAGGCTCCTACATCATGAAAATTCTTAATGTCTCATTGGCGATCCAGCCTGACTACTTGACAGAGTGGAAACATGAACACAAGCTGTGTGGTGGAGCACAGTCGTGATCCCCACACTCATCAGGAGTTCAAGGCCAACCTGGACTACAATAAAACCCTGTTCTCAAACAAAACTTGTCAGGATAAACCCTTATTTGACCATTACTCCAAAGTGACATCTCTTCAGCATGAGTTCCCCCTTCTTGGGTTTTCTGGTCTGACTCAGTGTGTCCAAAGCCCGTTAGTCATGGAAAGGGGTTATGGGCTCACACGTGAACTCCCAGGCCAGGGTCTTACCTCAAACTCTCTGACTCCTGAACTTTCACCTGGGACCCCAGAACAGATGTCACCTGGAAGTCTTGAAGCCAAAGCACAAAATACCGTGAGCTGACGGGCTCTCAATGCTCCCTGATATTGGACTCTAAGATCCTTTCCTCAAAGAGAAGGTTCTGGATCCTGGGTGGTAGAAACCCAGGACTGCAGTCCTAAATAATAGAAAAGCCAGATGCTCTCTTCTGTGTTTGTTCTCATTTTGCCCAGGAAGATATTAAAGTCTGATAGAAGGATTCCTATAACAGGAATCTGCAAACTAAGACAAGTAGGAATGGAGTGGTTGAAAGAAACAGTGCTTGCAGCCAACCCTGATGACCCGAGTTCGATCCCTGGAACCTACATGGCAGAAGGCAAGAACCAGCTTCCTACAAGTTGTTCTCCGGCCTCCACATGTAAACCCACACAGAAACAGATTAATAAAGATTCTGCCAATGGCATGAGCTTAAGTGACAGACAGTGTCAGCTGCCATTGTAGAGGGAGAATCACAAACCAGAATATAACCACTTATAAATATATATGAACATTCACCAAAGACAAATGTGGCTGGATGGCCTAGCATCACCAGGAGTGGTGGTGTATTTGTTTATTCCAACAAAAAGCAAGGCTTTCAATCAGGTATGGTGGTGTTTCCTGTGATCCCAGCTCCCGTGTAAAGTGGAGAGCATGGTTCAAGCCTGTAATCCTAGCCCTGGGGTGGGGTGGGGGATGACTAAGGCAGGAAGCTGTGGGTTCAAGGGCCACTCAAGCCACATTTGAGTTCCATGCCAGCCTAGGCTACATAGTGGTGTGGGAGAATTGTCTGTATTCTGTCAATCATATTTTAATAAAACGCTGATTGGCCAGGCAGGCAGTATAGGCGGGAAAGCCAGACAGGAGCAAAGAGACTGGGAGTATTCTGGCAAGCAGGAAGCTTCCTCTGCCAGTTCTGCCCAGACCACCGGAGAGGAAAGATGTAAGCTTCCCCGCTGGAAAAGGTACTGAGCCATGTGCTAACGTAGATAAGGATAATGGGGTAACATAAGTTATAAGAGCTAATAAGTAGCCTGACCTAATGGGCCAATCAGTTTATAATCTTATGGAGTCCTGTGTGTGATTTTCCTTGGGGTATGCCAGTTCTGGGGTACCGGGTGGGACAGAAACCCCAACAAGCCGGCCCTCATGTTACAACATAGTACGGGGGGGGGAAGTAATTTTAAATGTTGGGCTGGGGCTATAGCTCAGTGGTTGACTGCCTAGAATATACAAAGTCATGAACTCTACTGGGAGAAATAAAATGGAATTTTAAAACAGTATTTTTTTTCTTCAGGTGTGGCACTCAGAACTCAGGAGGTGTGTGTATGGGGGAGGTGTGTGTGTGTGTGTGTGTGTGTGTTGGCCAGAGGTTGATCTCTTTACCTTGTTTTCTGAGACAGAATAACTCACTGAATCTGAAACTCACCAACTGGACAAGACAAGCGGCCGGAGTGCCCTGAGGAATTCTCTTTTCTCCACATCCATGGAGCTGGGTGTGCACCACCAGCCCAGCTTTCCCAGGCAGTGCTGGGAATTTGAACTCAGGTCCCTGTGTTTGTGCATCAAGTGCTTTACCAATTGAGCCATTTTACAAACTCACCAGAAGACACTGTATGATGGAATGAAGTTCTGGTGCATGTTAGGATATAAGTAAGCTCTGAACACATCCTAATCAGTGGAAGGAGCCAGAAAAAAGAGCTTGCCAACCAGCTGATCACACTTAGATGAAGCACTAGCTGATCACAATTAGATGAAGCACCAGCTGATCACACTTAGATGAAGCACCAGCTGATTACACTTAGATGAAGCACCAGCTGATCACACTTACATGAAGCACCAGAAGTAGGAAAGTCCCTAGACTCAGAAGAAGGGTGGGGTCAGGGAAGGATTTAGGAAGTGAGTGATTGATGCTCTTGTTTAAGGTTCTGAGAACATTCTAGAAATGGACAGTGCAAAAATAATCAGTGCCAGCAAACCTGTTAATATAGACAACTTCTTGTTGTGTCTATTTTACCAGAGTAAAATAACTAAACCAAAACACAACAGCTTGCATGATACCATTAAGCTTATAGGGTGTCAATATTTTGTCATTTGTTATTTACAAAGTTCAGACTTCTAAACTACAAAGTCAAGTTACACACACACAAAGTTGCAAAAAAGTTTATCCCAAAATGTTCTAAGTATCTTTGCAGTTTTGGAATTGGGCTGCATTCACAGCTGTCCTTGGGCACATGTTGGAAAAGCCTGCAAGAGAGTGTTAAGGGAGCCCTTCAGGTAGGTCATGTGAGAAGCAGCAGGAGGGTGCAATGGTGCGACCCAGACTGCAGGGAGCCTAAAGATCTCCCCTCAGGACCCTGATGCTGCCTACACATCCCAATATACAAAAACCCTTCCCACACACAAAAATAAACAAAACAACAACAACAAGAATTTGGAGTTGTCTTAGAACCATCATGAAAGACACCATCTGCGGTCCACATGAGAACACAGAACAGTTTTTGAGAAACTCTAATCAGCAAGTGCTTCAGCCAGCTCAGGAATGTTACACAAGTCCAATCAAGATCTCAGAAAAAGCCAAGGCCATGCACACGGTGTAGGAAGGTTTGTCTAAGAAGCAGGACAGTCATCGTAATAGGATACATGGGAATAGATGACAGTTCCCCTTACAAGGAGACAGAGGAGCTTTTGATACCAGGGGAAAGAAATTAAAACACCCAGTGAACTTAGCGCAATGTTCTGCCAGGACTAACAACACTGCAGCTAACGATTCACCTTTGTTCTAAGCTTGTGGACCAGGCAGTGCAAGGCCAGTGTCTAGCAGAAAGGATGACAGGGCAGGCCCAGAAGCTTGGCTGAGCATGTGTTTCTATCAGTCTGTTCGTGCACACATGTCTGTGTATATGCACACGTGTGTGGAAATCAGTGGGCACCTTGGCTGATGTTCCTCAGGCATCTAATTTCATCTTTAGACAGGATCACTCATAGGCCTGGAGCCTCCTTGATTCAGCTAGCTGGTCTGGCTGCTCAGCAGGACCCAGGCATGGCATTGCAAGTGTGAGCCACTATAACTGGGTGTTTTTATGTGGATTCTGGCATTGGACTTGGATACTCATGCTTGCTTGGTAAGCATTTTACTGACTGAAGCATCTCCCAGCCACACACTTCTCAAGCAGGTATTCCTTACTTCCACCATTTTACAGAAAATGGATCTGAGACTCAAAGGGGTAAACAAACTCAGCAAATGCCACATTCAAGCCTCAGCAGTCTCCAGCCAGTGAGATGGCTCAGAGGGTAAAGGCCCTTGCCAGCAAGCCTGACGACCTGAGTTTATCCTCGTGACCCAAAGGTGGAAGGAAAGAACTGATTTTCTGAAGTTGTCCTCTGATCTCAATACATGAGCATGCATGCACCACCTGCAACACACACACACACACACACACACACACACACACACACACACACCACATTTTAAAGCAGTGAAAACAAATGAACCAATCTTGGCAGCCTGGCTCCTCTACTACCCTGATAAATATGAAACAGGAATGGGGCTGTTAGCTCCATTGTAGTAATAATCTAGGCAGGAAAGATGGCCAGCCTGGACTGGGGGGGTCTTCCTGGGGTGCAGAGGAAGCTTGGACTGGGGGGTCCTGCTGGGGTGCAGAGGAAGCCTGGACTGGGGGGTATTGCTGGGGTGCAGAGGAAGCTTGGACTGGGGGGTCCTGCTGGGGTGCAGAGGAAGCCTGGACTGGGAGGTATTGCTGGGGTGCAGAGGAAGCTTGGACTAGGGGGTCTTGCTGGGGTGCAGAGGAAACTTGAACTGGGGGGTCTTGCTGGGGTGTGAAGGGATTGCTAGCAGGAAGAATGGGTATAAGAAATGAGATGTCTGAAATTTTCTAAGCCCACCTGACAGGAAAGTGAACATTCTATTGTCCAATGTCACTGTCATAGCTTCTGATCCCCAGGATGCTTCTCTGTTTCTCACCAATTTGCTCCTAGACTTTTCCGGTCTGTTCCTTCCCCAAAAGACAAACGGGGTGTAAGGCCAAAGGCAGTTATCCACCTGGGAACCCCAAAGCAGAAGGAGAGTATGACTCGGGGCTGGGGTGACTTGCTATTGGAAACACTGCGTGGGTGGCTTGGCTGTCCTCCCACTGGTTTCTGGGAGCACAGCCAAAGCTTCTACGCGGCTGTTCTTCGCCCCACCTTGCAGCCCTTCCATGCTCCACATCACCCTTGCTCTGGCTCTGTCCCAGTGGCCTAAGACTCCTGGTCAGAGGTGTGACTCAGTGTCCGTGGGAGATGCACTCTCCTTCGCAGGCCACCTTATAGGATGTCTCCTGCCCAGCCTGTGAGTCTGCAGCTTCTGAAAGCACAGTCAGAACCAGGGCAAGGTTAGGAAGAGGCATGGGATGGTGCCCCGCCCCGTGGGCCACCCACCTGCTGAGGGAGAGGATGAGACAGAGGGGTGAGGACAGCTCTCCAGCTCCTAAGCCTCTGACTAATCTGCCCTTTGCTAGTTTGGACGCCAGTACCAATGCCCCTGAGGGTTCAAGCAGGTGGGCCAGGAGGGCCTGTGTGTCTCTACTTTTTTCATCTGCCACAGTCCAAGTCTGCTGTATCACTGGGTTCTGTCAATTCCATCAGCTAGTACTAGCCTTCCTCCCTCCCTCTACCCTTCTCTCCACCCACCTGCCCACCCATCCACAGGGCCTCGGCTCCTGGACCATGGCTCCAGCAAAGCTACACCTTCTCTTACCAGGAGAGCCCTCCACCTATCCCACGGCCCCCGGGAGTTCACATCAGTAAAACACAAGTATGAATACTGGAGTCTGGATCCCAGAACCCACACAGAAAGTCAGGCACCGTGGTGCAGGCTGGTGATCCCAGAGAGAGGAAACAGGGTTCAGGGATTGTGGACAGCCAGTGGAACCTACTTTGTGAACTTCAGGCCAAATGCAAAATGCTAACTCAAAAAACAAGATGGATGGTAGAGAATGACACCCTACACACACACACACACACACACACACACGCACACACACACACGCACGTAGCATGCACGCACAGGGAAGTGTGTGTGGGGGGGACCATTCTCCTTTCTCATAAAATCTCAATCACAAAGCCAGCCTCCACCACCCCTCTGGCCACGCCCACTGGCTCTCACCCTCTAGCCACACTGGTGGTTGCTCTGCCTCTGTCTAAACCCTATGCCTTCTGTTCTCTGAACAGAGCCCCCTCTGCCTAGAGAAGGTTCCTCCCTGCCCTTCTCTGCTTCAGCACTTTGCCCACAAGTCTTGTTTTTAATTATTCTGATTTAGTTAACTTTGTAGCCTTCAGTTTCTGGAAAAGAACTCAGCACCCAGTAGAGAATGGAAAAGTGAATGAATGAATGAATGAATGAATGAACGAATTCCAATCAAATTATATATTCCACTAATCCCATCTTTCTGGCAGCCAGCAAAATCCGCCATCATTTAGAGACAGAGGCCTTGAGACTACAGGGATCTTTGGCTAACTCATGGCTTGTCAGCAAAGCTGAGCCCATTTCACAGGTTTGTCACCTCTCTCCTGCAGATGAGAGTAAGTAGGGGCCAGCGAGATGGCTCAGTGAGGAAGAATATGCTCCCAAGGACATATGACCTGAGTTCAAAACCCAGAAAGGGATGGTGGAAAAGCCCCAACTCTTGCAAGTTGTAATCTGACCTTCACATGTGTCCCATGGAGTGCAAGGCCAACACGTATGTACACACAAAATAAATACAATTTAAATATCTTAAAATAACTATGCTAAATTTAGGAGAGTGGCTGGATGAAAGGGACGAATAGATGGATGGAAAGGAGGAAGTAAGGAAGGACTGAAGGAAGATGGACAGGTGGATAGATACATGGATGGGTAGATGGATGAACGGGTGGGTGGGTGTATGGGTAGACAGATTAACCAAGAAAAGCCAATGAACTGTGTCAGACAGATGTTGTCATGGCCCAGAAGAAGACATGCTGATACATGACACAAGTCACCGTCATGACACAGAGGAAGACATGCTGACATGACCTATGTCACCATCATGACAGAGAAGACATGCTGACACATGACACAAGTCACCGTCATGACACAGAGGAAGACATGCTGACATGACCTATGTTGCCATCATGACAGAGAAGACATGCTGACACATGACACAAGTCACCGTCATGACACAGAGGAAGACATGCTGACATGATCTATGTCGCCATCATGACACAGAGACATGCTGACACATGACCCATGTCTCATGACACAGAAGGCATGTTGACACATGACCTATGTCACCATCATGACACAAATGACATGCTGACACATGACCCATGTCGCCATCATGACACAGAAGACATGCTGACACATGACACATGTTGCCATCGTAACACACATTGCCGTCTTGAGACAGAAGACATGCTGAGTATGATCAGATACAGCACAAGCTATGTGCCTCCCAGCCTTTATCTCAAGATGCTGGAGACACCAGGAGAGCCCCAAACCATTTCTAGATCAGCATCCTATCCCCTCATTCCACCAGTCCCTCCTCTTCCCAGGTGCTGTCCATGCCCCTCCCTCCTCCTCCCAGGTACCATCCATGCCCCTCCCACCTCCTCCCAGGTGCCATCCATGCCCCTCCCTCCTCCTCCCAGGTGCCATCCATGCCCCTCCCTCCTCCTCCCAGGTGCTATCCATGCCCCTCCCTCCTCCTCCCAGGTGCCATCCATGCCCCTTGTAGCCAGGACACATCTGCAGCCGCCTTCCTACAGTGACTTCTCCAGAAGATCACTTTCATCCTCAGCCCCCAAGGTATCAACTGTTGATCATCATACACTCCGCCCACGTGATCCCTCAGGACACACCCCACATCCTCACAGTGCGAAGCATATTTCACACCGTTTCACTTAGACCTTACAAAGACTCCACATCACAGACTGTGGAAGAGTTGCCCCATCCCTGAATATGTTGATTCATTTACCAAAATCCTCTCTACAGTAAAGCAGAATATTGGTGAGGGGAAACCCATCTCTGAAAGACACCGAGGGCAACTGATTTCCTCCCCACTTGCTTCAAGGCTTTGATAACTGGGACCCATCCACGTTAAACCATGCCCCAAGTGTAAAATCTATCCCAGATTTTAGAGAATGAAAAAATCTCAATGCTTTTCAGTACTGATCATATTTGCTAATAGTAGTTTGGCTATATGGGGTTAAGAAAATGTTTATTTGGGGAGTGGGTCGAAGGTGTGTGTGTGTATCTTGTGTGTATCTTGTTGCCTATGTGTCCTGTATTTGCACATGTGTGTGGAGGCCTGAGGTCGACATCAGGTTTATTCAATTGCTCTCCATTTTATTTTTCATCACTGAACTGCCTGGTCTACCTGACATGGGAAGTCCCTGGGGTCCTTCTGCTTCCAGTTCCCAACTGCTGGGATTACAGGTATGTGTCACCACACCCAGCCAATATGTTATAAGCATTAACATTTGTTGTTTGGAGACAGCCTAGTATGTAGCCCAGGCTGGTTCTTCTGCTTCGGCCTTATAAGTGTTGGGATTGCAGAGGTCCATCACCACACCCAGTGATTGGTTTTGTTTGTTTGGTTTTGCTTTTTTGGGTCCCAGGGGAGTAGATTTGTGGGAAGAGAACCCAAGGCTTCATGCCTGCCAGTCTAACAGTCGGCCACACCCCAAGTGCCTTTTAACGACATTATTTCAGGGACACAAAACCTAACACAGTTCTGCACAGTTGCTCAACTCCTCCTGCGCACAGCTCCATGCTTGTAGCCATGACGGACAGTGTCTCCATCTGCTTCCCTGCCACGCCACACTGCAAAGCCGGGATGAAACACCTTGAACTTCCAGAAGGGGCACATGTTCCAGGAACCCTTCCCACTCCTCAAGCACTTAAAAACAAAACACACTGTCTTTTCACAAGAATGTTTCTGAGAATGAAGCTCATTGGGTAACAAATCCATGAGAAGTAACCAAGAAGGTGAAGGCATACGCAAGGCAAAACTTCATCTGGATTCTACTTTTTTATTTTACGTGTGTGTGTGTGTGTGTGTGTGTGTGTGTGTGTGTGTGTACATGCGTGTGCTGCAGCACATGTAGACATCAGAGGAACCCTAGCCAGAGCCAGCTTCCTCATCTACCATGTGACCTGTGTCACCATCAGACTGTTTGGCTCAGTGGCAAGCACCTTGACCCTCTGAGTTTTCCCACCAACCTCATCTATTTATCTGGAAGCAGGGTCTTGCTACACGTAGCCTAGGCTGTCCTAGAACTTGTGCTTTTCCAGCCTCAACTGGTGTGCTCCAGCAGGCCTCGTTCACACTCACTCACTTCTGAGAAGAGGTGTGAAACGGACTGAAATCCACGTGTGTGGATCCGCCAGTTTCTACTCAGTCAGTCAGACAAGGCTTTGCTGAATCTCCAGTGAAGAGAGGGGAGCTGCTACTGCCCTATGCCCCACTAATCAGTCACCTCTGGCTTCTGGGTGCTTGAACCCTCACTGGTGTACGAGAAAGTTTAATTAATTAAAACAGAAATCTGATACGCAATTCAAGTATTAGAACATTGCCAAACATGTTAGAAACCATAGTGCTTGCCTCCTCCCTAAATCTAAAGACAAATCAAACATTTTTCAATGAAATTTTAGTGTCCCAATTGAAAAAACTTGAATGGTCTAGTGGTGGTGCACACCTGTGATCCCAGCATTTAGAAGGTGAAGGCAAGCTGATCTCTGTAAGTTCGAGGCCAGCCTGGTCTACAGAGTGAGTTCTAGAATAGCCAGTGCTACATAGAAAAAATCCTGTTTCAAAAAACAAAAACAAACAAACACCACTACCAACAAAAAGAGTTCAAGGTAACAGAACCTGACTACACAGTGGGTTTGAGGTCAGCCTGGGCTACGTGATACCTTGTCTCAAAAACCAAAAGTTGAAAAAGCACCAAATGGAAGATGTATATCAGATTTCAAAAGATGGATAAATACAGACATTTGATGCATTCTAATATTTATTTTGACAATCTCTTGAGTTTAAAAAAATATAACGAAATTAATTCCACCTGCTTTCATATTTTTTTAAAACGTAAGATTGGGAAAGTCACTGTTCCATTTGGTCCCATTGTCTTCTACCCTAGTACTATTCTGTATGCCCCAGCAGTCAAGTAAAATGCACAAAAAACAAACAAACAAACAAACAAAAAAACCCTGTTTCAGCATCCTCCAGAACTTCACCCCTGCGTGGAGAGCAACTATACCCCCCTGCACGCCACCCTCCTGCAGGGTTTGGGTCTAGTCCCTAGCTTCTGTAAACCCTACCTTACCTGCTCCAGGAAGGCAAAAGAGAGTGAGGAGAGACAGGGATTTGCCTTGAGAAGTTTAGCTCCTCTCTCCCGCAGGGAAACGAAGAGAAGCAAAGGGGTTGGTGAGAGGGACAAGGCATCTGGGGCAAACCCAACTCCTGCAGAGCAGGGTGGTTGCCCTCTCCGTGCCACCCAGACTCAGGAGAAGAAAATGCAGGAAGCTGCATGTTTACTTCCACCCCAAAGTCCCCCCTGCCTGTGCCCAGCAGGACCAGCACTAGGAGCCCTGTGGGCACCAGCATCAGCATCCTTCAAGGGTAGGGACAGGGGAGCCCACAGATCTCAGCTCAGCTCCCTCCAGACCAGGGGAGAGGGAGTGAGGTGGTGGGCATAGACCAGCCAATCAGAAGCCTGTGGAGACACTCCTAGCTCCCTGGAGTGGGGGAGGAGGGGGCTTGGGGTCACTAGGGGGAAAGCCCTGTTTTGCCTTGGGAGAAGCACTAGGAACCAGTGATGTCTCGTGCTGGCCTTATCGTGTAGCTGTGTAACTTTGTTGCTGTCTTTAACATTTATTTGTGTGTGTGTGTGTGTGTGTGTGTGTGTGTGTGTGTGTGTGTGTGTACACGTGTGTCACAGCATGCATGTGGAGGTCATAGGACAACTTGCAGGAGTTCCCGTGTGGCGTTCGGAGATTGAGCTCCAGCTTGACAGCAATCTCCTTTACCTGCTGAGTCATCTCACTGACCCTGTGGGGTTTTTGTTTATTTGTTTGTTTTTGTTTTGTTAGAATCTAATATATAAGAAATAAAAGTGACTGTCTCAATGCATTTAATTCAGTGGCCTTGGGGGCATCTAAGCTATTGAGCCACCATCACCACCTGATAGGCCATGGTCAGTAGATGGTTTGGCCGTACCTCTGTTAGAGGAGACAGGTGACCGTGAGGCAGATCTACAAGGCCTTGGGGACGGCAGTGTCACAGTGCTGGGAAAGCAGGCCCGCTTACATCATCTTGTACTCCCCATGCTGGCCTCAGTTTCCCTCACTCCAAGTTCTCTTCACCTGAGTCTTTTTTCCTGAGCTCCAGGTGCCAAAGCCTGGCCTCCAGGGCAAGTCCCTGTGGCAAATACCGTCTTTGTGAACTGCTCGGTTGAGGTAGGACATCTCCAGTACAGTCCCGCCACTCAAAGTGGGCAGCCCCAGGCTGGGCCAGTGACTCAGAGGGTAAAGTGCTTGGTGCATAAGCATAAAGATCTAGTTCAATTCCCAGCCCCAGCTCATACCTACAACCCAGCCCTGGGGAGGGCCAGACAGGGGGTCCAGATCGGCTGGCCAGCTGGTCTAACCCACATTAGTGAATTCAGATTTAATAAGAAACTCAGTCTCAAAAACTAAGGTAGGGGGTCTGGAAAGAGGCCAGCTCCCTGCACACATGTTGGGCAGCCCACAACTGCCCGTAACTCTTGCTTCAGGAGCTCTTCTGGCCACTGTGGTCACCCACACACATGTGGTACATGAGCACATGTGCACACACACATGCATGCACACACATGCACACCAAATAAAATCTTAAAAGGAAATGAATGACCAAAGACTTACCTGATATCCCCTGGTCTCCACATGCTCATACGTGTGCGAGCACACATGAACATACAGAGGACAATCTGCTGCGTGTTAGTGTGTACACGGAACTGTGCACCCATCACAGCAGACAATTTTGAGCTATTTTCATTACCTTGGAAGGAAGCACTGTCTGGGTCTCTGGCCTTTGCCTCCACTTTCTATTTTTACCGGCATGTCTCCCGGAGAGTTCACATAAACAGAAGAGCCTGACACGTGGTCTTGGCATTTGGCTTCTTTTTCAATCAGATGATGTCCCCAACTCAGACATCTTACTGTCCAGAACCCTGACCACAAGGCTGAAGACACAGCTTCTGGTGGGTCTATGGTACTTTCCAGGGTGACTGCAGGGAGAAGTGGGAAGTTGAGCCCCAGAAGGCTAGCCTGAGGGTGACAGGCCCAGCGTGGGCATGAAATGCATCTGCAGATGACACTCACACAGACACAGTGCTGGGCAATGATTCTCTTGGGGGCAGCTTACGAGGAGAGCTTGTATGAGCTCCCAGAACAGAGCAACCACAACAGTGATAACGGCACTGCCTTCAGGAAGCTCTGACTGCCATCAGTGAAGCCCTCACATGGGTTATTTCCTGCTCAGCAGTTCCTCAGAGAGGGTAAGTCACTCACCCAATGTCCCACAGCCTCTGAGGGTTTTTACCCACTCTGAAGGAAGAAGCCTGTCTCTTTTAACTCTGGTGGGATTTCTGGGCCTTTCTCCACCTTCTTCCCTGGGAGACTGCATCTCAGTCTGTGGCCTGGATTCTCCCCAGTCAGGAGATTGAGCCAAATCCTTGCCATCTCTGTTGTGCGGTCTCTAGGCAACATGGCAATGTTGGCAGAGTGGGCATCCTACAACTGATGCCCAGGCCCCACTTCAGAAACAACCACCAGGGTGGCCCTGCCTCCCTTCTCCTAGCCATCGGATGCCTCACAGGGTCTGCTGTCACTCTAGGCCACTGTGGTCTGCCGGGCAGGAATCTATACCCCTGGCCTCACCTCTTCATGTCTATAGCATCCTAGGCCAAACCTTGGCCAACTGGCCCCATGGAGCTCAGGATATGGGACAGCATTTACGTAGGCCTTCCTGACAAGTGCCTCCCATGTGTCTCTCCTCTACACTCCTAGAGATAATGTGAAGTTGTTTCGGCTCTCTGCACCATGACCAGAGCCTGAATTGGGCCAGGACTATTGGAGGTCAGAAGTCCTCATCTTTCTGAGATGTTTGCTTTCTTGGTTCTGGGGACAGAACCCAGGGCCTTGCCCATGTGAGACAAGTGCTTCCACACATCTGCAGCCCTAGTCTGACACTATTTTGCATTGTTTTTAATTTTTGTGTTTCTTTTTAGTGAGTGTTTATTATTTTGTGTGTGTGTGTGTGTGTGTGTGTGTGTGTGTGTGTTCCTGAGTACACACAAGTGCAGCCCATGTGTGGCACAGAATCATGTGCCAAAGCCCCCGGAGCTGCAGCTATGAGCAGTTGTAAACCACCCCAGAGTAGGTCCTAGGAGCTAAACTCTGGCTCTCTGTAAGAGTAGTAGCATGCTTGACTCTCCATTGTGGAAGGTCCTTCTGTCTATGTGTTGCTTTTATTGGTTAATGAATAAAGAAACTGTCTTGGCCTATGATAGGGCAGAACCTAGGTAGGTAGGGAAAACTGGACTGAATGCTGGGAGAAGGAAGGCGGAGAGGGAGACACCATGGATCCGCCACCGGAGATAGATGTGCTGAAACTTTGCTGGTAGGCCACAATCTTGTGGTGATGCACAGATTAATGGAGATGGGTTAAATTAATATGTAATAGTTAACAAATAAGAAGCTAGAGCTAATGGGCCAAGCAGTGATTTAATTAATACAGTTTCTGTGTGATTATTTCGGTTCTGGATGTCCGGGACAGACAAAGCAGCCTTCTTCTCCAACAAGGTTTGTTGTTGCTTACTTTTCATTTTTTCTAAGACAATATCCTTGTTCATAATTTTAGGTTCACAGAAAATTAAGGAAAGCTAGGGAGGGGTTTCTCATCCATCCTGCTTCATGTCTCTAGCCTCCGTACACTACATAGCCTACACCACAGAGTTCCAGTTGCTAAGATGACTCTGCCAGTTGCTAAGATGACCTGCCGACACACACCGTTACCATCAAAATACGAGACTTACAAAGGGGCAGCTTCTGAAATGGATGTGCTGTGCAGTCCTATTGTCTCAGAAACTCAGGAGGCTGAGGCAGGAGGATCAAAAGTTCAGTACCTGCCTGGGTGATACTATGTCTCAGAAAAGCAAAAATAAACAAAAGAGGAGATGGTTTGTTGTGTATATGTTTGTTGAGATAGAGTCTTATGTAGCCTAGACTGACCCAGAAGGGCTGATCCCCCTGCCTTCCATGTTCCAAGTGCTAGGATTACAGTTGTGAATCACCGTGTACTGCTTTATGGTGCTCGGGATTGAACAGGCTCCCCTCTTGCTAGGTACATGCTCTGCCCACTGAACTACATACATCCCTAGTATTTTTTTGCAGAGACAGGCATGGACGTGCCATGGAAGAGAAAAATTCACCAGTAGGGGGCCCTCAAGCTGCTGGAGTGGGGCTGTCTGCAGAAATGCTGCCACATCTGCTATCTTTGAAATAAAGGGGACAGGGAGAAATCTGTCCCCTGTTCACCAGGAGTGGGGTTGAGATGGGGATGGGGGGTGACTCGTTTCTGTTGACTTGTTCCGTGAGCTGTCTGACATTTGAAAATCAGTTTCCTGATCTCTTTGGGCTCATGAACTTACTGGCAAAATCAAAGGGCTGGAAGTCACAAGCAAAGTGTTTCCTTCTGGGTTTCAACCGAGAATGAAGGCCAGAGAGGAGAGAGCCCCAAAGCTGTCACATGATGGTTTTAGACTTGGTGAAGCCATCAGACAACAGTGGACCAACACCCTGTTCACAGCAGGCGGCAGAGATCTGTGTGGCTAAAGCTGCCCAACTTTGGGCACAAGGCAATACAGATCAAAGCAAGCAGTCATGTGTTTCTTCACAAGCACATCTACCCTGGGCCCTGGCCATGACACTCCCAAGTGTTTACCCACAAGAAGAGAAAGCAAACACTGGGCCAGTGAGCTGGCCCAGCTGGTAAAGGTGCCTGCAATGCCCAGGACCCACATGGGGGAGAGGACAGACCCTTGAAAGTTGTTCTCTGGCCTCCACAGATTCACTGTGGTGCGTGTGTGTCTGCACGTTCACACACCCAACAAATAAGTGGGGGTGCAGGAGTTCACTTGGCATGAATGTTCGCAGTAGCTGGGGTATGTCCGTGATACTATGCAAGGACAAAAAGGTGCAAGGTCTAAGGGTCGACATCATCCACACTCTCAGGAAGGGCTCACTAGGACCCGGGTTCAACAGCTGAACTCTGAGCCCTGCAGTATTTTCCTCTATTAGGGAAGGAGATGCTTGCCAAACAGCAGCAGAATGTTGCCTGTTGACACTGTCCTCGATGCTGATGTGGGGGTGTTGGCATGACCCTTAATGACAGTCTGACACCCACAAACATGCTAACGAACCCTTACTCATTGTCAGCTGATATAATTTCCCAATCAGAGGCCAAATTCCTGATCCTGCTGCCACTAGGACCTCAGCCAGGCTGGAGGAGGGCACCACACAAAGCTGGCCCAGGAGAGCAGCAGGTAGGAAGGCAAACACATGCCTCACTGTGACACGGGCTGGAGCCCCTATGGGACACTTCCAGGTGTCCAATCATCCTGGAGTTGAGTGGCTCGCAGCAGTCACATGGGGAGGTGCCTAGGTATGGACAAGTACCAAGTGCAGGGTCCCAGACAGGAGAAAGGTCTAGAAACATCTTTCCTCCTTCCTCCCATAAGAAGGTCTCAGTAGCGACATGTGAAAAGAGTGGTTGCCCGAGACCTCAGAAAGGCACCCCAGAGATGGAGGCACCAGGCTAGTGATAGAGTTTTTCATAAGAGCATAAACTGTCGGGCTGACCCTTGACCCTGTCTGTCCCTTTCGCTCTCCCAGGCTGTGCACCCTGACTGTAAGAGGCCACCCACACCCCTGTATATGGGAAGCCTGGCCCTCCTTCCCCAGGAATGGGCTCCCCAGCTGTGCTCCTCGGGATGAGGCAGTTCAGGGCTTGCAGCCGGTCCAGGGAGAGCATTGCACGGCAGGCTGATGGCAAAGACCCACTCGCTAGTCTGGCGAACTCGTGCTTTGGAGGGCTCTCTTTCGGCTGTAGTTTGAGATGGGGTCGCATTGTAGCCCAGGCTAGCCTGGAAATGCTGATCTTTCTGCCTCTGCCTGTGAAGTGTGAGAATCATGGGTGTCCCTCACCGTGCCCCATTTCACAAGTCGGCTAATTATAACTTTCCATCTGCAATCGCACCCACATGGACTTTCCAAAGAGTACCAGGAGGACGCTAAGCTATGTAGGGCCAGGCTGCAGCTCAGTAGACAAAGTGCTTGCCTGGCGTGCATGAAGCCCTGGGTTCTGCCCCCAGCACTGAATACAGAAGGTATGGTAGTGCATGCCTGTAAACGCAGCACTGGCGAAGTGGAGGTTTAGGTTAGCCTCTGCTATGTAGAAAACCTGAGGACAATTGGAACTACTGAGACCCTCTGAAAACAAATAAACACCACCATTTGAAAGTGTATATTCATTTATTTCTGAGTAGCCCTTACGGAGAGTAGCGGGTTCTAGAAGCACAGGCTTATTAAAGATGTTGAATAGAGAAGGCCCACCCAGACTGTGGAATATGACATGCCTGTCAAAAAGAAAGGGGGCAATGTTCAAGCTATTGTTATAATTTAAAAAATGCATGCGCAAGAAAGGAGAGAGTGAGAGAGAGAGAGAGAGAGAGAGAGAGAGAGAGAGAGAAATGGGGGGCGGGGTTTGTCTCTTAAAGTGGGGGGCTTAGCGCATATGCATAGACTATGTAGTGACATAGCAACCACAGGACCCTGGGCTGGCCAGGGTTCTGCCTGAATGCAGCCTTCCAGGTGTCAGGGGACAGGACAGCATAATGCCTGAATGAATGCTAACAGCTACAACACAAATGAACCTCAAAAATATTAAGACATCCAGACACACAGAAAAGTCCAGGTATCATGTGACTGTTTCAAGAATAAGCAAGTCTACAGAGACAGGAAAGAGATTAACTGTGGGTGGAGGCACACATGACTCAAGTTCCTTCCTGAGGTGATAAAATGCTAACAACACTGTGAATACGCTCAGAACTATGCACTGCATTGAGGGGCTTGGGGCCTTGCATCTGCCATTCCAGCACTTAGGAGGTAGAAGCAGGAGATTCAGGAATTTGGGGGCAGCCTGAGCTTCATGACACTCACAAAAAAAAAGCATCAATACTTCAGGTGAATTTTGTGCAGTGTGAATTAAATTAAATTAAATTAAATCACGCTTCACAGTCTCTGTAAAGATGAATATCTTCCCAAGGCTCCAGTAGGTGACTGTTGACAGTTCTTTCCTTCCTTCCTTCCTTCCTTCCTTCTTTCCTTCCTTCCTTCCTTCCTTCCTTCCTTCCTTCCTTCCTTCCTTCCCTTCTTCTTTCCTCCCTCCCTCCCTCCCTCCTTCCTTCCTTCCTTCCTTCCTTCCTTCCTTCCTTCCTTCCTTCCTTTCTTCCTTCCTTCCTTTCCTTCTTCTTTCCTCCCTCCCTCCCTTCTTCCTTCCTTCCTTCCGTTTCTTTTTGGAGACAGGGTCTCAACATGTAGTTCTGGCTAATCTGGAACTCGCTATGGACCAGGCTGACCACAAACTCACAGAGATTCTCCTGCCTCTGCTCCTGAGTGCTAGGATTAAAGGCGTGCTGCGTACCACCGGTTCTTGGTCACTGTTCTTAGTGAGCCCCCTCTGATCTTTTCATCCTAAATCTATCCGGCATCACTTGCTCTAACCTGGCAATGTGCAAGGTTCCCAAGATGCTTACCCTGATGCTCTCTAATTCCACTTCCAGTTTACTCCTTAGGGTCTCATACTGTGACCCAGGCTGACCTGGAACTTATGCAGGGATTACGTGTTGAGCCTGAGAATGCACAAACTCTCTCTCTCTCTCTCTCTCTCTCTCTCTCTCTCTCTCTCTCTCTC